CTCTGATGCCCCATATGGGCCCAGAACAGAGAACTAGAAATAAGTCCCTGCTCCGTGTGGCTTCTCCTCAGCCCCAAACCGCCTCCTCCCCATCCAAAAACAATGAGAATTAGATTATTTGTGATCATTTATTTCTAAGACCATTTGTATTGGTCTTTAGATTTGGAGTGACAAAAGCTGGCAATTTAGTTATAATTTAATATACATGAAGTAGAGCATTTTAGATATACAGTTTTTTTTTTCCCTTTTGCACTCAGGATTCCACAATCTAATTCTTAGAAACTGGGTGTACTCAGACATATTTTTTCTAAGTTCATATGTGTAAATAGTTGAATGAGGTAAGGGAAATAATCCTTCCATAGTTTAATTAGGGTCTTATACCAAAAACCTATAGAAGTGTTCCATTTAAATTCAGGAAAAGATAATGTTGCCTCCCTCTCACTCTCAGTAGCACTATTAAATAGACTACTGAGTGGTTTTTCATCAATCTTACAAAGGAAAAAAATAGGAAGTAATAGGGTTAGAAAAGAAGTGATAAAAACTTGTTTTTTAGAAGAATCAATAGGATCAAAAGACAAACCATTAATGATAATGATAAAGATTTACTTTCTTGGTAAACTTGATCCCAAGCTATTGGGCCTGGCCAAGGGCACAGCAGCAATTTTGGGGTATCTAGAAATCCGAAGATACCATCAGGCTGCTGATGCACTCACCTCACAGGTACAGGTTGACCTGCTGGTGGCACCATACCCCCTGCAGAAACATTTTATATCAAAACCGTAAACATTAACACTACTGTAGCGATAATAGAAATCATCATTAAAAATACTGAACTACAGGGCTGGAGCAATAGCATAGCAGGAAGGGTGTTTGCCTTGCATGCAGCGGACCCAGGTTCGATTCCCAGCATCCCATATGGTCCCCCGAGAGCACCGCCAGGAGGAATTCCTGAGTGAATGAGCCAGGAGTAACCCCTGTGCATCGCCGGGTGTGACCCAAAAGGCAAAACAATATATTTATATATATTGAACTATAATAAAATATTATTAAAATGTTAAATGGGGGACTAGAAAAATAGTACAGTGTAAAAGGCAATTTGTCTTTCACTGTTCACCTGGACGCAACCCCCAGCATCACAGCTGGTCTCCCTAGCCTCTCCAGGAATGGTTCCTGAGTATACAGCCCAGAATAAAGAGTAAGCCCTGAGTGCAACTGGGTGTCACACACACACACACACACACACACACACACACACACACACACACACACACACACCAGGAACCAGAGAGATAGTACAGGGTTTTTTTTGTTTGGTTTTGTTTTTTTGCTTTTTGGGTCATACCCAGTGATGCTCAGGGATCACTCCTGGCAGTGCTCAGGGAACATGTGGGATGCTGGGAATCGAACCTGGGTCGGCCACGTGCAGGGCAAACTCTTTACCCGCTGTGCTTTTGCTCCAGCCCCGAATAGTACAAGTTTTTAAGGCTTACAGCTGACCCTGTTTCTAATCTCTGACACCACATATGGTCATTCAGGTAGGTCATTCAAGCACTTTATATATACATATTTTTTTTAAGTGACTAAGAGTATAGCTTAATAGTAAAGTTCATGCTTTCCCACATGAGACCCTGGATTTGAGCTCTGTCACATAAACACACAAAGCTTAACAGTAACAACAAAAACACTTCTAAGAGAGAATCTGCTATGTAAAGAGGCACATGATACCAATAGATGGAATAATAATATTATACAAAGATTTCAAATTCACCTCAGTCTTTTAGAAACTCCATAAATTTACTCCGAAGTTCATATAAAGGAATAAAACTCTAAAGACCTGAATTATCCTTAAAGAGTAGGAGATCCAGAGAGATAGTATTGCAGGTAAGTTGCTTTGTATGCAGTCGACCCAGGTTCAGTCCCTTGCACTGCATATGGTTCCCTGAACCTTGTCAGGAGCAATCTCTGAGCATAGCCAAGGATGACCCTATGCTCCTTAATCCTCCTTATCCCCCATTGGAAGGCTGTTTCTTCCAAGTAGTAAAGGCATAATACACGACTGGTGCTAGTTTGTTTTTCTTAAATGACTGTTGGTATAATAATGGTCAAATATACAAATGAATGGAATACAGATTTCAGAGGTAGACAATGAACATATTAAATAAAGGATGCATTTTGATGCAGAATATTGGGGGGGGAATCATTATTTTGAGAAACAATGAAATCAATATTAACTACTTTAAGGGTGGAGTAAGTCATAAATTAAGGAAAGGTCAAAAGTTAATAGAAATGGGGCTGGAGCAATAGCACAGCGGGTAGGGTGTTTGCCTTGCACGCGGCCAACCTGGGTTCAATTCCCAGCATCCCATATGGTCCCCTGAGCACTGCCAGGGATAATTCCTGAGCACAGAGCCAGGAGTAACCCCTGTGCATTGCCAGGTGTGACCCAGAAAGCAAAAAAAAAAGTTAATAGAAATGTAGAAGACTGGCTTATGACGTAGATATCTGTCACTGTCACTGTCCTCCCGTTGTTCATCGATTTGCTCGAGCGGGCCAAGTAACGTCTCCATTGGAGACTTTGTTGTTACTGTTTTTGGCATATCAAATACGTCACAGGGAGCTTGCCAGGCTGTGCCGTGCGGGCGAGATACTCTCGATAGCTTGCCGGGCTCTCCGAGAGGGGCGGAGGAATCGAACTCGGGTCGGCCATGTTGGCTGCATGCAAGGCAAACGCCCTACCCACTGTGCTTTCAGAAGCCTATACCGTCAGGCAAAGGTTCATTTTCGACGTTTACCACCAGGCAAAGTAAGATCAGGCAAAGGTTCATTTTGACGACTTTAAAGTAAGGATCTTTGTTCAGTGAAGGACGTCCCAGACAAAGTTCCTGTGCGATCAGATGAGTGATGATGGCTGCAGTGTCTGTACAAAGGCAGTGGGTTAGTCCATTAAGTATGCACATCAGCAAGAAAGCCTGCTTAGAAAAGACAGGGGGCCAGGCCGATGGCTCAGTAGCAAAAGTGCCCGCTTTGCAAGTCCGAGTTTGGTCTCTGGTGCTGTCCACATGCATCAGGCATGGTCCTGGCGGCTCTAGTCTAGACTCCTAACACCACAGAGCAGGGACCACCTGGCGCACCATCGTAAGGTGGCATGAGTGCTGCAACAGCTCACCCTCGTGAGCACAGGAACCAAAGGTGTGCAAGCAAAGCAGCCCAGAGTTCCACTCTCAGAGAGCGTGTGCGTGTGTGTGTGTGTGTGTGTGTGTGTGTGTGAGCACCACTGTTGTACCCACCCAGCTGCGCTACAGCCAGAATATGCGTGAGGACCACAACTAAAGGAGTAAAACCACCAGTGAGCACATGATGCCGGTACCACAACTGAGGGGTACACGTCCATGGCAAGCACCACAAGCCACCCCCAGTCATCCCAGCAGAAGGGAAGAAAATGAAAGGACGAGGGAAGAAAAACTTAAGTAGGTGGCCCAGGGAGATGGCTGAGCGCATGCTTTTCTTGTGGGAGGCCCAGATTTCTTCTCCAACACAGCCTGTTCCATGAAGCACTGCCACGTAAGACCCCAAAAACCAAAACAAGCCAACAGAGCCCAGACTATAAACAGGCTACCAAGTATACAAAGAAAAGTCCACAATTATTAGTAATGAAAGAAAGGCCAATTCAATATTGATTCAGCACTGTACAGCTCTACATGTATTAGACTGGCAACAATTTAAAAGCTGGGAAATGCTGAGTATTGGTCAGAATGTGGAGATACAGGGGTTCCTGTTTTGCTGCTGAAGTACAGCCTCATGCAACTCTGCTGAAGAACAGTCTCTACTGACTCCAGTTCATCCGTCACTGTCCTCCCGTTGTTCATCGATTTGCTCGAGCGGGCCCAGTAACGACTCCATTTTGAGACTTGTTGTTACTGTGTTTGGCATATCGAATACATCACAGGTAGTTTGCCAGACTCTGCCATGCGGGCGAGATACTCTCGGTAGCTTGCCGGGCTCTCCGAGAGGGGCGGAGGAATCAAACCTGGCTCGGCCGAGTTGGCCGCACGCAAGGCAAATTCCCTACCTGCTGTGCTATCGCTCCAGCCCTGACTCCAATTCATAGAGTTTTAAAACACTCCAAACCTGTGTCTTAGCAGTTTGATCCTGAGATATTTCTCAGAGACAGGTTTATAAGGGGACATGTGTTCACTGAAGCTATAGGGAAGGGAGATTTTTCTTTTTTACCCTTCTAAGTTCTTTTAGATGTTCTGATAAATTGAAGGAAAAAAAACATTTGATTTCTTATTTATGTGGTGACAGCCCCCAATAAGAAGTTGATCACTTGAGTTATGGGATGGGTAGAGTTCACTCCTGGGGCTTTGAGGGATGAGGAGGATAACAAGAGCAGATATTTGATATAATTAGATGTTCATCCTACCATACAGATGGGTCATTCAGATACGAAGTTATCTTTGGTAATAAAACAGCTGGAGATTTCTGTGCCAGACCACCTTAATTGCTTTCGGCTTGAAATTATCTGCTTTTCAAAGTGACACATTTCTGTGATGGCCTGTACTGACGCCCACCAAAAGATTATGCTGATGGAAACTGGGAGTGGTGTGGGGGAAGGAGTGGAGATAAAATCAGGTGGCTACACTGGTGGAATATCCAGCAACTAGAAACTTCTGCGTAGATGCACGTATAGGGGCCTGCATGACTTTTATCAACAGTGTTGAGCGCTGAAAGAAGGAATATAAAATGAAAACAAATGAATACACAAATACAGAATAGATTTGGTTCAGACAGATACAAACAGATTAACACCAAATAGGGCTCCTTTATAAACTGGGAGGAAACCAGAAGCCGGATAAGTGGATAGAGTCTAGAAAAAATAAAAGAACAGAAGCATTTTTGGAAAAATGTTCCTAAATGATCTTTAAACTGTTTGGGGTTGTACTGAACGACAAAGGTGAGAAAAGCTAACTCTCCGTGTTTTGTTTTCCCTGTTTACGTAGGGTTGAAGCTTTGAGAGATGCAGCAACCGCTGTTGAGCAGGAGAAAGAAATCCTCCTGGAAATGATCCACAATATCCAAAATTGCCAGGACATGAGGCAGATCAGTGACGGTGAGAGCGGCCCCCACAGGAGGGGGCTTGGCTTCCACACTCCTCTGAGGGATCTGTGATTGGAGCGGGCCAACTTCTGCCTAATTGACCTAAGACTTTAGCATTCAGTGTCAGCTCTGTTTCCTACCAAACCTTACCCCCAAATCATGCTTTGGCTAGACTAGAGCCTTCCTCTGGGGTCCTGGCTGAAAAAGACAGAAAAAGATCTGGTCCCCAGGAGGCAATGAGGCCATGTTGGACAGCGGTTTCACATTCTGCATTTCCGGTCTTTAGAAACTCAGCGGATTGTGGGAAACATAGAAGCAGAGGGAAAAGGTGAGAGATTGGAAGCAGAGAAGATAAAAGATGAATTGAGGTGTAATTTTAGAGGAAGTGGAGAAAATGCAGAGACAGTAAATGTTGACACCCTCCCTAGAGTCCCAATGAATGTCTGCCATGGAGAAGCAGGTCCCTGTGGTTTATTTATTTATTTTTTTCATGTTGGCACTGAACTTCCTAATTTGGCTTCTTTGATGCTTCATAGATAGGTCAGTAGGCCAAGCAGCTGATGTGAGTGCAGTCTGATGCCAGACCAAAACTCTGACTCATCCATGAGACCAGGGTCTAGTCAGACTCTTCTTCATCCTGGCCAAAGATTCATGAATTAGGAAGAAAATTGCAGGACAATTAGGAGATTGTTGACTTCTTCTTACTCAGTGAGATGCTGATCATGCCCTTTTCTCCCATCCTTGCTTCTGTGTTGCACAAGAATTACCTCAGTTGTCTTCAGTCACTGGTACAGACCCATAAGGATAGATGAGCTGAAAACTACTTTGATCTTGGTTATAACTGCTGGACCATGGATTTGTACATTGTGTAAAAGTCTGGTGCTGGTGTGCAGGTGTAGAAAGGTTGCAGAACACTGGCTGAGACCACCAACTCACTTGCATTTATCTGGAGGTACTGGAGTCAGTCGCTACGTAGGGCATAGACCAGCTCTTCTCCACTCTCATGCCTCTGTTTCTCAGCCAAAATCACAGCAGCATAGTCTGATAAACAACCAGAGTATGCCACTCCAAAGTATGTCTCTTTGGATAAGGATTATGTCGGGCTGATTATTATTTTGTTTTTTGGGCCACATGAGGTGATCCTCAGGGTCTACTTCCGGCTCAGTGCTTAGGGTCACTTCCAGCGGTACTTGGGAAGCGATACGTTTCTGAAGATCGAACCCAGACCTCCTGCACGCAAAGCATGTGCTCTGTCCACTGGGCTATCTCCTTTATGTTTGGGCTGATTCTTTTTTGAGAAGTTGAAGGAACCAGAGATGATCTGAAAACAAGAGTAGAAGTAATTGTTTTATAAGAAAACTTTACATGTATGAAGAAAATCTCTGTAGCTCCTCTGTACCATGAAAAGAAGTATGTCTCTAAACCATAGGAAACTCATCGGTGAAGAAGGCATAGACCTATAGTCACATAACCAGCTTGCCTTTCTATTTTCTTCCCATTTTTTTTAACTGTGCCCTTTCTCCATATCAGCTTCCCCTTCCCCAGCATCTTTCTTTTGTCTCTAGTTGAAGATGATGTTTACAGTGGTTTGGGCCATCTTGGGTTTCGGCTCAGTATCTTCAGCTGTCTCCCCTATATATATTGATAAACCGACCTGTTTTTCTCTTGCTAATTTGTCTTTTATTTTGATGGAGGGGGTTTTGGCCACGAACTCAAGAAAATCGAGGGAATGACAACTTCCTCCCTCTTCATACACATCTTTACAGAGATTCACAACTTCACAACATACGATCTGTGAATTTGTAATCAATATGAAACTGGACTTGATCTCTAGCTCCATTAAAGATGCATTCCTGCCCAAACTTTTACAGTCATGACTGCTTGAGTCACCTGATATCCCATGTATAAAAAAATTCCAGGAAGAAATATTCTACAGATTCCCTTTGTAGTATAGTGGAACTTTACCAATTAATCATACATGCTATAGTTTTTTTGTTTGCTTGTTTGTTTTGCTTTTTGGGTCACACCCAGTGGTGCTCAGGGGTTACTTCATGCTCTGCTTTCAGGAATTACTCGTGGTGGTGCTTGGGGGACCATATGGGATGCCGAGGATCAAACCTGGGTCGGCCGAGTGCAAGGCAAATGCCCTACCCGTTGTATTATTGCTCCAGCCCCATACATGCTATAGTTTTAACTTTTTTTTTTTTTTCTTTTTGGGTCACACCCGGCGATGCACAGGAGTTACTCCTGGTTCATGCACTCAGGAATTACTCTTGACGGTGCTCGGGGGACCATATGGAATGCTGGGAATCGAACCTAGGTTGGCTGCATGCAAGGCAAACGCCCTACCCACTGTGCTATTGCTCCAGCCCCTATAGTTTTAACTTTTGCTTTTAAAATGTTTATAGAGGTTAAGGTACTATTCTTGACATGTGGCCCATCCCAGTTCCGTCCAGGGCAGCACATATGGTCACCTGAGCACCTCCAGGTGTGTTCCCTGAGCACAGAGCCAGAAGTTACCCTCAAACACCACCAGATCTGGTTTAAGCATTCCATTCCCTCCCACCACCAAATTTTATAGCAGAGTAGCTTATAGAAAATATGTTCAGCAACAAATGAAAGTCTAATGCTCTTCACATGAGTAAGCTTTATTCATATCTCAAACTTTTTATGTTTAGGAGAAAGAGAAGAATTAAATCTGACTGCAAATCGATTGATGGGACGAACCCTCACCGTTGAAGTGTCAGTAGAAACGATCAGGAACCCGCAACAGGAAGAATCCCTAAAGCATGCCACCAGGATTATTGATGAGGTAGTCAATAAATTCCTGGATGATCTGGAAAATGCCAAAAGTCATTTAATGTCTCTGTACAGCGCATGTTCATCTGAGGTGCCGCCGGGACCAGTAGATCAGAAGTTCCAGTCCATCGTAATTGGCTGCGCTCTTGAAGATCAGAAGAAAATCAAGAGAAGATTAGAGACTCTACTTAGAAATATCGAAAACTCCGACAAGGCCATCAAGCTGTTGGAGCATACTAAAGGAGCTGGTTCCAAAAATCTGCAGCAAACTAACGAAAACAAATTTAATTAGAGCACTTGCGAATAATGACACAAAAAATTCTAAAATACGAGGCTGGGAAGTGGCTCCGCAGTAAAGCACATGCCTTGCATGCCTGAAGCCTGGGCTTAATCCCCAGAACCACACAAGAAAACACATAAAAATATTAAATAAATGGATACTACTTTACGTGATAACTACTTTATTAGGCATAACCACTCATTTTATACTGAGAGCTGTTTCCGATGTGGAAAAAAAATTTCAGCTGTCAGTTTTGTGAATAATAAAATTAGAATGATTTTAATTATCTCTCTAGAAGTTTTTAGATTGTTTTTGTTTTATACTTGGACCCAGAACCTCCTGGTGTGTGTGTGTGTGTGTGTGTGTGTGTGTGTGTGTGTGTGTGTGTGTGTACTTATTATGTGGCTAGAAGGAAGTGGTGAGGGAAAGAATATCATTCTTGTTTCTTAGACTTTGGTGGAAAGACCTGGGGGCAGAGGGCCGAGAGATAGTCCTGCAGGGAAGGTACTTGCCTTGCACACAGCTGACCAGCGTCAGATCCCTGACACCCTGTATGGTCCCCCAAACCCACCAGGAGTGATGCCAGAACCATTAGTAAGCCCCGAACTCTGCCAGGTGTGACCCTGCTCCCTGAAAAGAGACATAAGGGCAGTTGATTGACTTTTTTTTTTAAGGGTTTGATTTTGGCACAGGGGTGTTCAGGGGTCAATCCTCGTGGTTCCTGGGGATCATGTGGTGCTGAGAATCAAAACTGAACCTCTTGAACAAAGCACGGGCTTAGTCCTTTCATCTATCTCCCTGACCCTGGCAAGAGATTTTTAACTTTAAGCAGCATACTCACAAACATTTATTAATTAATCAGGCAGCGTGCTTAGAAAAATAATCACAAACTAAGAATTTTTCTCTAATCGCGTTGATTTTTGCCTTTTTAATCTTTGTAGGTTTTGTTCAGGCCACACCCAGTATGTTCAGGGCTGTTCCTAGGTTATTGCTCAGGGGCAAGTGCCCGGAATCAGTTTGCACTCCTGGCCTTCGGGTTATTTCCTTGGTCCATCATTTTGCAGTTTTTCAAGACCTTTCTTTACATCAAGTGGAGATTTATGCATCTCAAATGTTAAAAAGTATTTTTGATATATGATAGACATGATAAAATTCTCTAATGTACTACTTTGAACAATTATACCTCTAGAACATCTTGTTCCAAATGCATCATTATCTAAAATTTTAATCATTATAGAAAGTGTTGATTTTACTTTTTTAAAAATGCTATTGTAGGCCGAGATTAGTACCAGGAATTTTACTCCATGACTTGGAGGCCAACCACACATACTAGGGGAAAAGGGAGCTCAGATAGAGAAGGGAACACCAAATAAAGGTGTTGGGAGGATCCTCCCAGGTTGGGAGAAGCATGCTGAAAGTAGACTATAGACCAAACATGGTAAAGGTAAAGGTAAAGGCCCTCCCGTTGATCGTCGATTTGCTCGAGCGGGCCCAGTAACGTCTCCATTGGAGACTTTGTTGTTACTGTGTCTGGCATATCGAATACTCTCGGTAGCTTGCCGGGCTCTCCGAGAGGGGCGGAGGAATCGAACTCGGGTCGGCCATGTTGGCCGCTTGTAAGGCGAACGCCCTACCCGCTGTGCTATCGCTCCAGACCAAACATGATTGCCACTCAATGTTTCTTTCGCAAACCACAACACCCAATAGGAGAGAGAGAACAGAGGGGAATGCCCTGCCACAGAGACAGGGTGGGATGGGGGGATGGGGGGTGGGAGGGATACTGGGATCCGTGGTGGTGAGAAATGGGCACTGGTGGAGGGATGGGTGTTTGATCATTGTATGATTGAAACCCAAGCACAAAGATGTGTAAGTCTGCAACTGTACCTCATGATGTCTCACTATTAAAAATATTTTTAATTAAAAAAATTTAAAAATAGATATCCAGAGAGCTATCACAAGGGTTTAAGGTATGTGCATTCATGTAACTGGTCCCTGGCATGTTCCATGGTTCCCTGCGCATCTCCTGAAAGTTTCTGAGCACCTCACAGCCTGAGCAGCATCATATCCCTAGCCAAGAATTGACAGGAACTTCCCTTCGCCCACTTCAGAATGCTGCTATTAAAAGTGGGCGGGGCAGAGGCAGAGCGATAGGACGGTGGGGAGGGCATTTGTCTTGCACACAGCCAACCTGGGTTTAATCCCCGGCATCCCATATGGTCGCACGAGCACCTCCAGGAGTCATATCTGAGTGCAGAGCCACGTGTAACTAACCCGAGCATCACCAAGAGTGATCCAAAAAGAAAAAAAGGGGGGGGGCGGGGGCAGAGGGGCACACCCAGTGGTGCTCAGGGCCTACTTCTCGCTCTGTGCACAGGGCTCACACCTGGTGATCAGGGAACCGTATACGGTACTGGGGATTGAACCAGGTCAGATGTGTGCAAGTCAAATCGCCTACCCACTGTATCCTCTCTCCAACCCCTGAAATTTTTAATAAATCTATCTCTGTAGCTCTAATACCAAAAATCAATTAATCCACTCCCTTTACTGACCATTTAGTTTTCAATTTGCTGCCATTAATTTTTAAGTATAAATTCTCAGGAGTGGGATTTACAGGGTTAAAGATATTTTAACCTATAAAGATACAGGTTAATGACCTATTTCCAATTTTTTTTTTCTTTTTGGGTCACACCCAGCGATGCTCAGGGGTTACTCCTGGCTCATGCACTCAGGAATTACTCCTGGCGGTGCTTGGGGGACCCTATGGGATGCTGGGAATCGAACCTGGGTCAGCCATGTTGGCTGCATGCAAGGCAAACGCCCTACCCGCTGTGCTATCGCTCCAGCCACTATTTCCAATTTTTTTTTTCTGAGATATACCAGTTTATACCATCTTCAGTAATTACAATGGGGTATTCACTGCATGTTTTCCAGCAATAAGCATTATTATTTTATCTGTAATTAAACAACTATAGAATACTTTTTCTTGGAGTAACTACAGCTATTAATACACAAAAGTCTCAATTCCCTGGGACTGGAGCTATCATACACGCAGCCAATCTACAATCAACCCCTGGCATCTCATAGAGTTCTCAAGCCCACCAGCAGAGACAGGAGTGAGCCCAGAGCATAGACATCTGTGGTGCAATAGTAAAACAGAATAAACCTCATTTTCATAAATACCGTTTCAGAGGGATCACATATCTGTTTTCATCAAAATGTAGGTATTCTTCCACACTGGGGGTGAAATAGTCAAGATCCAGTTGGTTTCTTATGTTTCTTTCTCGTAGTGAAGTAAGACCACACAGTTCTGGACAAAAGTGCAAAACTGGGGGCTGAGATAGCACAGCAGGTAGGGCATTTGCCTTGCACGCGGCCGACCGAGGTTCAATTCCCAGCATCCCATAGGGTCCCCTGAGCACCGCCAGGCGTAACTCCTGAGTACAAAGCCAGGAGTAACCCCTGTGCATCGCTGGGTGTGATCCAAAAAGAAAAAAAAAGTGCAAAACTGGTGTTTCTTCACAAGTAATTACGATCCTCGGCAAGTCATAGTTGCTGTGATTTCAGCCTCAATCCAGTTTCACCTAAATCTTTTCATTTCATGGAAAACACTCGTTCTCACTGACAGCTGTGGCCAAGCCACTTGTCAGCAGATAACTAATTTGCAATCAAGTTTTCTTCAAATCTGCAAGGCCTGGGAGCAGCTGTAAATCTCTTTCACTCCGGGAAATTATGCATGCCCACTTTTCCATCTCCCATGTCAATCAGTGCAAGACTGTTTCTGCCACAAGATATTCCGACAGTCTCCAATGCATCTGTATTTGTCAGTTTACCCCCTTCTTGATGCCAGAGATGAACCCAGGGTCTCATGCATGCAAGTCCAGTGCTCTGTGGAGCTACATCCCTCTCCCTCCTTCCCATTTTTGGTAAGAAAGTTTATTGGTGGCCATTCTTAATCAGACTCTAAGAACTGACCTACCTTCTCTCCAAGTGTCTCCTGCCTTCTGTACCTCCAGCTTGGGTCACACACAAGCAGCTCAACGTGTTGGTGCATCTTTTTATTTGCTAGAATGTAAATGCACTTTATTTTCAAATAATGGAACTTCTGGGTCAAGTGTTTACCTGTTTCTCAGCACTTTTATAAAAGTACTAGATTTAGGGGCTGGATCAATAGCACAGCGGGTAGGGCATTTGCCTTGCACGTGGCCGACCCAGGTTCGATTCCCAGCATCCCATATGGTCCCCTGAGCACCACTAGGGGTGATTCCTGAGTGTAGAGCCAGGAGTAACCCCTGTGCATCGCCAGGTGTGACCCAAAAAGCAAAAAAAAAAAAAAAAAGTACTAGATTTAGTTTTAAATATCTATCTTTGAGCCTGAGAAGCAGTACAGTGGGTAAAGTGCTTTCCTTGTTTATATCTAATCCAGATTTCATCCGCAGCACCCTCTAGGGTCCCAAAGCCTGCCAGGGGTGATTTCCCGGCAGAGCCAGGAGTAAGCCTTTAAAACTTTCTGAGAAGGGAAGAATAGTAATGAATGTCCTAGCAGAGCTGCATCCTCTAGGGGGCACCATCACACTCGTCTGTATGGATGGTGCCCGCCCTTTCCAAACATCAGGGCGTTGCTGTACGTATTAGTGTAGAGCAGACACAGGAGGCCCCAGTTTTAACCCCCAGAACCAAAAACAAATAAACCCCCCCAAAAAAATCCCATCAAAACCCAGAAGAAATGAAACCACTATTAGCCTAGCGAATATGAAAAATAATGATAAATGCAGAGGGATACAAGAACAGGGGCAGTTCCTTTGTATTGTGCTCACTCTAGACCCCTGATTCGGAATGCTTAGAATTCACCCTAGAGAGGCGATACGCTAACTGGAGAATAATGAATGTTTCCAATGAAAGCATAAGAGAACTGAATGTGGGTAGTACAGCGGGGAGGAACTGCCTGACATCCGTAGGGCTGGAGGGCACCATCCAGAGCCATCCCCAACACCTGTGGGTGTGCTCCCCTCCCAAAAAAAGAAAAAGAAATTATTCCTGCAAACTAAAAATATCTGCAATGATTTTTAACTTGAAACATGTCTGTCCTGTCCCAATGAAAAATTATGATAAGTACTTACACATTTGGACTTCCAAAATGTGAGCATACCCTTTTTGAGAAATAGATTTTCCAGTTACTCACAGACATAAACCAAATGAATTCTGGAAAATTCAAAGAACACTGCAGCGAGCTAGAACTTAAGTCAATTTCTATTTTTTGTTTGTTGAGTAAGAAAATGGAAATGGACCTTCTACTTCATAGGACTTCAGTCTTAAAATTTTTTTTATCATAAACAAGTGTTTTTATCATAATCAAAAGTGTTTTATCATAAACAAAAGCTTGAATTAAACTGCAGAAATCTTTTTTCTACCTCAATCCACTACATCTTGTAAGAAACATGCTTCTTTTGCCTACAGGGGAACATTGGAATCACTGTGGAATACACTTACATGGTCAGGGAGGGATAACTTCAGCAATGTGCTTTAACACGCTGCATTCCAGACAGATTAAGTGGGGCAGACTGTTCAGGAAATTGACACAGGATACATAAATGGCCCAAAAATCTGGCATTCGGAAAACTGACCTACCATTCAATTCTAGGGCATAATACAAATACATTTTCACGTGTCATTGTTAGACCTCTGTTCTAAAGATGATATTATAATCTCCAGGACAAAACACAGAACACACAGAGAACTTTACACTTCACTGTGGGACGACCTCGCAGAAGCCCCCAACCCCACGGCTTGCAGCTTACTGGAGGACACAGTAGATCATTTAATCTCTTAAATTCTCGCCAGCCTGCTGTGAAACCAGCTGGGAGGAAGATAATGCTCCTGTGAACTAAGAAATTGGAATGAAACAGAGCATACAAGCTACTGTGCATGGTGTCTAATATTAGAGAGCACTGTTGAATCGATTTGCCTTGCACGCAGCCAACATGGCCGACACAGGTTCGATTCCCAGCATCCCATAGGGTCCCCCAAAGCACCGCCAGGAGCAATTCCTGAGTGCATGAGCCAGGAGTAACCCCTGGGCATCACCGGGTGTGACCCAAAAAGTGATAAATAAATAAATACGTTTTTATATCACAGTAAAAGTTAATGTTCTATTTGGAGAGGGGTCGCATGCCTCAAAACAAGACCACCTTTCTTTAAAACAGATACCAGGGCTGGAGCCAGAGTACGGAAGGTCAGGGGCTTGTCTGGAATGGTCATTTCCTAGCACCACAGAGGGTCCTGGAGTGCTGACAGAGCCAGGAAAAAGCTCTGAGCACAGGCCCATTCTTAGTGTGGCCCAAAACCAAAAAATGAAATTAAAACAAATGGACACTTTTGCGAGAGCGGTAATTCAGTGAGTATGGTGCTTACTCTGCATGCAGTTGACCTTGGTTGATCCCTACCACTACATATGGTCTCCCAGCACCACTGGGTGTGGTCCCAAACTGTTAAACAAAGGGCCTGGAGAGATGGTACAGTGGGTAGCACACTTGCCTTGCAAACCTGGTTGACCCGGATTCGATCTTCAGCAACAGCCTGCCCCCATCCGCCCACCCCCACACACCAAGAGTGCAAGACTTGCCCTGTGACAACACCCAGGTTAACTTGGCGCCAGAGTGATAGCACAGGCAGCAGGCAGGAGGGCTGCTTTGCATGCCCCTGACCCCAGTTTTGATCTGGGCACCCAAGATGGTCCTCCAGGCCCACCAGGAGTGACCACTGAGTGACCACTCCAGGCCAGAAGTAAGCCCTGAGGACTGCCAGGTGTGGAACAACAAAAGAAGAAGAAAACCACAGACTTGACACTGGGCATAAGGATGTAGTTTCCCACGTCTAGGCCTTCTCTGGCTCGACCCCCAATACTGCAACCACAAAAGGGAGGAGGCTGAGGGGAGGGGCACTTGATACAAATAAAGTAAGTTTTCAAGGCAGAATCATTTTTGCTGCAGTGCTGTCAAGTTGCCTTAAATATCCACCATAATAAATATGCCAAGTCCTGGCACAATATCTGAAAGAAGGAAGTTTTACGTGGTTCTGATCAAGAAGTCATCTTACGTTCATACAACAGACATTAACACTATTGTAACCATGCTACCTAGACCCAATTAAAATATGGTAGAAATAATAAGAAGTCTCTGCCAAAAAGGGGATCGATCATATTATACCTTTTACTATTTGGTTCCACAATGGTGACACGTTACCACTCACATCACACAAAACTCTAGCTTTAAAATGCATTTTTTTTTAATTGGAATCCACTTTTCATGAAATTTTAATTACATATTTAAATCGAGTTTCAGGGCGTAACTGCAACCCAATAGCAACAAGTCCAAGTGGTTTCCCATCCAAATTTACAAACGCATTTTTTGGTAGTAACAAAAATACAGAAGGGGTTTAGTTTTCCATTTGGGCCAAAGGTTTTAGTGTTAAAAGACCGCTGACCACTTAACAACATCCCACAGAGATCATCTTTCTGGAGAGAAGCTGGAGAGCTCTGTCTCCTAAAGGTTATTACAGCCAAGCCCAGTGACCCGGGATGGGGTGACTTGATGTTTCAGAGTCTAGTGTGGTTCTAGGTATCTTCCGTGAATAAATAAATCCACTTACATGATGCATTTACATATTTTGAGGTAAAAACCTAAAGAATGCCACCAGTGCACACGTGATACTCGTAACAGCTAAGTCTGAGTAAGTCTACCTGCTCCTCAGATGACTGTAGTGATGGAAAAGTTTTCGTCTTGTTTTTGGGGAAAAAACCCGAGATGCCCTAACTGAACTATAATGAAACAACTCCGCAGGTTACCTGCAACCTTTTCAAAGATTTTTTAAAAAGAATGCTAGCAATTGACACTATATTATGCTAAATTAGTTTACGTTGGGACATGAAGTTGTAAGGCCAGTTCCCCTTCTAAGATTTTCGGAACGGGAGTTTTTCCTACGCCTCTGAAACCACTGCCACCGTCTGACTTCATTCCACAGTGAGGAAAAGTGCTCATCCTCTTTTTTTTTTTTGTACCTGTAGTTGTACCTAATTTTGAAAAAGTACATGTGTGCTATCGACTTTGGGCAGATAAAAAGTTTTATCGCACCATAGTTTTAAAAACCTAAGTTGTCTTACAGATAGTCGGTACTAGCTACTGCGTGTGTTATTTACGTGGAGAGGGAGACACTGAGAGGCAAAAGAAACCTGAGAAACTCTGGACTATGGCAACTATCCCATCGACGCATTGTCTAGAAGCTACAAATCAGTGAAAATGTAAAAAGTTTAACAGAGCATGTGTCAGAATGTCCGGGGGTCTTAGGACAAATTTTTTTTCTAACATTCATGCTTCATTAAGAAACTATTTTAGAAAATTAGGGTCTTGGGAGAAAAAAAAATGTCAATTTTGAAGGTTTTAGAATTAAAATGATAAAGTATTTAATGTGTCACCTATATAACTGATTTTGGGTTCCCCTAATTATTTTAAATGACTATAGTTATGTTTAAAATATAGAAGTATAAATGAAATATGTAACGTCTTCAATTCTTATAAAAAGAAAAAAGGACAATGAAGGACATAAGATTATACTACAAATATTAGGGAAATGGTAAAGATCATTACAGGTTACATTTTTTTTTAAAGAAAATAAACTCTTACCTACATCCACTTAATTACTATAAAATAGAACAGAAGAATATGATTTATTCTCTGCTACTAAAGACTATAAGACTTTTGCCACAAAATATATTTTGTGCAAAAATTAAACATACTTGAGTAGAAAAGAAAAATTATTGAATTCTGGAACAGAATTACTCCCCAATGCTTACATCACTGCCAGCAAGGAAAGTGGTGACAAGTGGCGACATAAAAATAAGAATTTCTATTACTTTGAAATATTCCAAATTACTTCAGTATTATTAGATCAAATATCCACTACTGACCTCTCACCAAACTCATTCCCCACCCCCAATTCCAATTCCATTATGGTTACAACATTAATCTGAACAGAGGGACGTGGATGGTGCTGATGGAAGACTTTTTTAAAAAGCATACAAAAGGAATATACAAAACATTAAGCATTTAGTATAAATAATGGAAAATGGCTACGACATGTTCCCAAGAAGAGTTATATATTTTGAAATCCCTGTAAAAAACAGGCATATTGAAAGGATTTAAAAATAAAGTCACTGATGATCGAACAGAATTCAGGCAATCACCGTTAGAAAGTAAACTGTCCCAAGTCATAAATTTTATGCTCTGGCACGTGACTGTGTATTAAAATCATTTTCGAAAGAAATTTCTTTCGTGTTTGGTGATGATGACAGAGCTCTTGAAAAGTGCAAGTACAAACTGAAGGGCATAGAAATTTCGAAGTGACACTCCTAAAAGATCATACAAAAATGTGTAAACAAAAAGGATGCTTCAGAGTTGCAGGGCATTACAAAGTCCATAAGGTGGATTAAGACAAAAGATATCTCTTTAAAAAACTGTCAGCATAATCCTAAAAGATCGAAGCTGCATTTTCAATCTGTCGCAAAAGGTGCTCACTGCACCACCGCACTTCACAAGACCTAAGAGATAACTGCAGGTGTTCTGGGTCTCTAGAAGGGCTCCTGGGGGTTAGGGATAGGCACGCAAAAAAGACTCTGCAACAAGTCGCATCTGGGAGAAGCTAGGGCAGTAGAACCCGGGTTCCTCTTTTTTCTACCCTTCAGGGAGGAAACTTCCTTTAAAAGACATTATAAACTATATAAATTCTAATTAGTAAAGATCTGTAAAAATTAGGCATGACCTTTTTTTTTGGCACAAAGCACTTTTAAAATCAAGTTCGTTTTGCAAAATATATGTATGGAATTTCTTATTTGAAAATAAAAACTTTGAATGAATGTTTGTACACAATGTATATGGTCTTATGCATGAGTTCGATTTTGTGTTTCCGTGAATACTGCACGTGCCTTCAGTTCACTTCAGAATCAGACACCTGCACCAAATCTCCACAGCCTACCGTACAGATATTGCACAAGTAATAATGCCAAAATACGTACTTATGCAGCCTGGCAAGATTTAGGGTTTACCTTTCAATATATTTTTCATAGACTATTTTCCAGAAACGTTAGATGACTAATTTCAGAAAAACAATGCCTATTATCTTTTCTTGGCCCACAGTATTAAAATATATACCAATATACTTAGACATTTCATTTATAATTTTCCAGCATTTAGAATTCAGCAAGACCTGTTCTTGACATTTCATACAGCATTCCATCAGAAACAGGAGAAGCTTCGTCTAATGTAAAAAAAATGAAAATGAATCCACAGGAGGGCAGTAATTCTTCCATTAAAGACCTCACTCCGCTCTGTAAAGCACTGCAGAAAAATGTCTAGGTCTCTCAATTTCCAAAGAGCCATTAGGAGCAAACTCTTCCGAAAACCGTGTGATAGGTCACAACAGCTGGATGTATTTCTTATTAAATTGCACTGTGATTAATTAAATCTGTTGCTCCCTAAAAACATTTTAGGGTATGCTACAGCTGCTAAAAGGATTTCTGTTTTTCTTGGTCCTCTGTTTGTTTGGTCTAAGATTGATGACATCTCCGCCATTCAGGGTACTTGAATTCTGGACCAAATGACTTCCACCGGCTGTATTAAAGACACCTGTGGAAATGAAGGGAAAACACAGAGATTGACACCAAAATACCTTGTGATTTCCTGCTGAGCTCTACATATCCAGCTTCTGGGTTTTTTGGAGGAGTGGGTGGGGTGGTGGATGGAGAGGGAGAGGCCACACCAGGCGATGCTTAGGATGTACTCCTGGCTCTGTGCTCAGGGACTTGGTGGTTCCTGGGGGACCATATATGGTGCCAAGGATCAAACTGGGGTGGGCTGTGCACAAGGCAAGGGTCTTCACCCTTCCTTGTACTCTCTCTCTCTGGCCCTGCTCCATTCCCAGTGAATCCACAGCATTTACAAATAGAATTTTAAGCTTTTCATCTATTTATTTAGGTTGTGTGTTGCACCCTGCAGTGCGGTGCTTGAAAAGTATTCCTGGTTCCGTGCTTGGGGCCAGGGGAGGGAATGTCCTATGATTCTGGGGATCAACTCAGGGGCTCCCACATGCAACGCATGCACCCTAGCTCAGGGAGCTCTCTCTCCAGCCCGTCGTTTCATTTATTTTTAACAGAATTCAAAGCGGAAGAGTACAAAAGAGGCGCTAATAAAGTTTCTTTCACGAATCCCCTCATCACAAGTCTCCCTTCCCTAAGGCAAACACGCCATCAGATTCCCATGTCTCCCTCCAGTCGTGTTCTGCATACGTGATGCACAGTAAGCATATGTGCAATCAAAAAAGCCACACGGAAAAAGAGCGATTAGAAAAAAGTCAAAACCAAAGAAAAATGTAACATAAAGTCAAGGGTGTGTGTGTGTGTGTGTGTGTGTGTGTGTGTGTGTGTGTGTGCGTGTAAAAGAGGGAAGGATGACTATGTAGCTGTTAGAAAAGATGAAGTCATGAAATTTACATACAAGTGGTACAACATGGAAAGTATCATGCTAAGCGAAATGAGTCAGAAAGAGAGGGATAGACATAGAAAGATTGCATTCATCTGGGGGATATAAAGTAACAAAATAGGAGATTAATACCCAAGAATAGCTGAGATCAACACCAAGAGGATTACTCCATAGCTTAGAGGCCAGCCGGGCATTCTAGGGGAAAGGGCAGCTCAGATAGAGAAGGGAGCACCAAATAAAGGGTGTTTGGAGGATCCTCCCAGGAGGGGAGATGCATGTCGAAAGTGGACTATGGACTGAACATGTTTGCCACTCAATGCCTCTTTTGCAGACCACAACACCCAAAAGGAGAGAGAGAACACAAGGGATTGCCCTGCCACAGAGGCAGGGTGGGATGGGGGGGATGGTTGTGGGAGGGATACTGGGATCCGTGGTGGTGGGAAATGGGCACTGGTGGAGGGATGGGTATTTGATCATTGTATAATCGAGACCCAAGCACAAAAAATTGTAAATCTACAACTGTACCTCATGGTGTTTCACTAATAAAAAAAATTAAAAAAAAGAGGGAAGGATGAGAGATATGAATCCCTAGGGCCTGCAGAAGCTTCTGGAAAAAAAATTCTCATCTTCTTAGAAAACAAAACGATATGGTCAATTAGTTACTGCTGAAGAGAAGACTTCTACAGGGAGTGCTAAATTTTGCTAGCATTTAGCATGGGGGGAAAAAAAGAGAACCGTATTAGTTAATAAGCAAGGTGATAGAAAAGGAAAAGGCATCAAGGGACTCTTAAGTATACAGTCAGAGAACAAGAGCTGAGAGAGAGCTCCCTTATGTAAAGGACAGATCTTAAGAGAAATTCAGAAAATTCCAGGTAAAAGTCTTTTAAATCCCTATACTTTTAAACAAATGACCTCATTCTCCAAAGTTTATTATTTATTGTGCTAACACTTTCTCATCATGTAATGAGTAGAAAATAAATTTACTTAAGTAAACATGAGCTAAAATTTCTTGGGTACTTACCAATTTTGTTACTACTTGAATGCACTAGTTTTGGATCCTCAGCTATTTGTTGTTTGAGTTTTTGAAGGTATTTTTCAGCCAAATATTTAAAAACTAGAATAAAAAAAAAACTCTACCAGGTTAGTATCAATTATGCATGCAAGATCAACTTATTGAATATCATGTAATAAACAATTCAAAATTAAACTAGAAACATGACAAAGTTGGAAAAACTTTAACCATGAACAATCATATTGTATTACCTAAGAAGTAAATGGTAATACTAGTAAAAGTAGCGTAATATTTTATTAGTAATGATACTTGTAGTCATTGGCTTTTCAGATTTATGTACTTGAATGATGATTACTGTTTGCTGACATTAAACTAACTCAGTCTTTAAAAAGTCTCTTTAAGTTAAAAAAAAAATCAATAAGACGCCTGAGAAACATCCAAGTTGTAATTAGATAAAAATAAGTTAACAAATTGGGGCTGGAGCAATAGCCCAGCGGGGAGAGCATTTGCCTTGCACGCGGATGACCCGGGTTCGATTCCCAGCATCCCATATGGTCCCCCGAGCACCGCCAGGAGTGATTCCTGAGTGCAGAGCCAGGAGTAACCCCCGAGCATCGCCGGGTGTGACCCAAAAAGCAAAAAAAAGAAAGAGAAAAAAGTAACAAATCTGGAATTAGAAAATAACTATCATCTATCTCTAATCTCATTTAAACTGTAGCACTGTCCACCCATTGTTCATTGATTTGCTGGAGCGGGCCCAGTAACGTCTCCATTGTAAGACTTTTTACTGTGTTTGGCATATCGAATACGTCACGGGGAGCTTGCCAGGCTCTGCCGTGTGGGCGAGATACTCTCGGTAGATTGCCAGGCTCTCCGAGAGGGGCGGAGGAATCGAACCAGACTCTGCCGGACCGCGTGCAAGGCAAACTCCCTACCCACTGTGCTATTGCATTTAAACTTGGAAATATTATCAAACACATTAAGGCTACCATAAGTATCTAATGGTATAGATGCTTACACATACACAGTTTCTAGAAATAAAAAAAAGCAAAGGGCTGGAGAGACAGCTCAAGTGGTCAAAGAATATGCACGGCCCATGGATTTGATCCCTGGAATAGCATGTCCTGCATCCCTAGCCCTGACCCCTCAAAACATCAGCCACACAGCTGGGCCGAGTATCATGGCAGGAGGAAGACTGATCCTGCTTAAAAAAAAAAAAAAGTCCCGGCTGGAGTTATGATCTAGCAGGTAGGGCACTTCCGAGTTTGATGCCTGGCACCCCAAGGATTCCCTGAACCGGCCAGAAGTGATCCCTGAACAAAGAGCACAGAGAGCCAGGAGTAAGCCCTGGGCACCATTAAGTGTGGCCCAAAACCATCCCTTTCAAAAGAAAAAAAAAAAAGAAAAATTCCTCAAGGATTCTGCTCCAGAGTAAAACGTATTGAAAGACATCAGTAAATAATTAAGCATCCTAACTTTACTTAATGATTGTGACAAAAGAAAAATTCTCATTACAAATATACGTTTGAAAACACACACACACACACACACACACACACAACCAAGCAGAATATTAAACTTCCTGTTGCTAACTGTTGTTTCTGTCACTGTCCTCCCGTTGTTCATCGATTTGCTCGAGTGGGCCCAGTAACGTCTCCATCATGAGACTTCTTGTTACTGTGTTTGGCGTATCAAATACGTCATGGGGAGCTTGCCAGGCTTTGGCGTGCAGGCGAGATACTCTCGGTAGCTTGCTGGGCTCTCCGTGAGGGGCGGAGGAATCGAACCCGGCTCAGCCGGGCTGGCTGTGTGCAAGGCAAATGCCCTACCGCTGTGCTATCGCTCCAGCCCTTATGGAAAGCAATTTAGGGACCTGGGGCTTGCTCAAATGCAGAGACTTCCCCTGAAAGCGTTAGAGATCACATTTTCTATCCCCAGAACCGCCCACAAATGACGCTAGTGGCTCGGTCAAGTGCGGTCCACTAGGTCACAGCAAACAGTGTGAGGGGGCATCCAAGTGCGTGAAGTCACTGCAGCAATGGGGAAAAAATAGTTGGCCGCAACGTACCTTCGTTCACATTTAGATCTTCTTTCACGGATGTTCTGTAGAATCTTAGCTTTAGTTTTTTTGCCAGCGTTTCGGCTTCCTCACTAGATAGCGATACAAAGAAAAGAATCTTACAGAGGTACCTGGTTTTCACACACCACTCTAAAAAAGTAAATACGACGGTGTGATGATGGATGAGTTTACCAAACGTATGGTGGTGAATCAATTCAAAATACATACACAGAGAAAATTATCACATTGTATACCTATCCAGACTAATAACGTGTCAATTACATGTTAGTTTAAAAACTAAATGAAGAAAAAACCCCCACATTATTACGCTTAATACAACTTGGTGGGTGGAGCCGTATTTTGATCGATACATTTTGATTTTTTTCCTTTTTTCTTTTTGCGGGGGGCATGTCCCAGGAATCGAACGCAAGACCTCATACACACAAGGCTCTTCCACTTACCTGCATTCTCTGCCCCTTGCACTGTGAAACTGCCACCCCTTCTTCGGAGAGGAATTTTAGATTTTTAGGCCGCGCCCAGCAGTGCTCAGGAGCTATTCCTGGTTCTGCGCTCAAAGCTCAAGTGCTCCCAATGGTGCTCAGGGGATCACCGGGTACCAGGAACAGAACTGGGGTTGGCTGCATGCAAGGCAAGCTCCTTAACTCCTGCACTGTCTCTCCCAGACACATACTAAAGCTTATTGACATTACTTATTTATTATTATTATATCTGTTCTTAATGGCTAATGAAACTGTTTTGCTAACGAAGCCAAAGGCAGTTTATTAGTAACTGTGCCTATGAGAGCTTCATTTTAGTTTTATTAAGACGAAAACCTTAATAAATAGCAAGCATATTCCAAAATGGCTCCCTTGAGGTCTTTGTGTCCTCCTCCTCAGAGTTTTCACCCTGCAGAGCATCTTCCTACTCTGTAATCAAGGTTAATCTGTGCGATACGAAAGCTCCCGTCTGTCTCGCCTAAGATTAGGCCGTAAGAGACAGGGGGCTGATTCCAGCTTGCTCTTGGATCACCGGCTGGGGGGGGGCCAAGTGTGATGTCCAAAAACACCCCAGTGGTCCATGTGGGAAAGAGCCACAGAGCAGAGAGCTAAGGCTGCTTGCCACCAGCCAAGGGAGTGAGTCAGCTACAAGTGAAACTTCCGGATTAAGCCAAACATTCACATTTGTCTCAGGCCTGTCCAGCCTCTTGACATCTTGACTGCAACCCCATGAAAAATTCTGAGCCAGAAAGTGACACCCACATTTCCAACATACCAAAGCTGTGAAATAAGAAATAGTTGTGGTTTGGTTTGGTTTGGTTTGGGGCCGCACCTAACGGCTCTCAGGATCGCCTCTTGGCTCTGCACTCAGGGAGTACTCCTGGCAGGGCCCGGGAGCCTGCCCCAGGGTGCTGGGGACCAAACCTGGGTGGGCTATTTGCAAGGCAAGCCTCCTACCTACTGCACTACGGCTCTGGCCCTCAAGAGTTGTAGTTTTAAAGCCACTAAGTTTTGAGTTGATCTATCAAAGGACAGTAAGTAGTAAGTTGTAACTTTCAAATTTCGGGGAAAACTAAGCGAGGATTTTCAAAGCTAGGATAAAGTGTTTATATGGCAATGAGCAAAGAGTTGTAGGCAGAAACTGTTCGATGTTAACCTGTTTACAGATCTGAGCGTAAGACTTCTAGATATACTGAACAATATGCGGCTGAACTTATTTATCAACACAAAAGGTCGAGTTGCCCCAGATGTTAAAACAATCAGGAATATGTTTCTTAATATCCTTAGTGTACCTAGATTCGACTTGACATTTGTTGAGTTCATATTCAAAATACATGCATTTTCAGTAGAAGAGTCTAAGGCTAGAATTCTACAAGGGGATTCAAAATTTATTCCTTTAGGAGTTGGAGAATTATTACAGGGTTAAGAGGTTAATATTCCCAGTATTACATCTGGATCCCCAAGCCCCACTGGGAGTGATCCCTGAGTACAGAGCCAGTGGTGAGTCTAGAGCAGAGCTGGATGAAGCCCCAAACCAAAATTAAAAAATCAAAAAAAAATCTTCTTTAATTTTCTAGTACGATCTGGTGTGACCTATTTTTATTAGCTAAGTTATCGAATACCTTTAAGTATAGAGGCAATCTTCATAACTCTTGGCAAGCTTTAAGAAAAAAATCTTTCCTAATGTTCATTCACGAGTTGAAAGAGGCCTGAACTTTATAGAATTGCCACCACCCCCTCCAAAGTAGCCATCTTACTTCTTTATACAAGAATCGTCCAAGAGATCAATCTTGTTCTGGACCAGCACTGTTGGTATCTCTCCTACTTCAGCCACTACTTTCTCTCTCCAACTGGAAATGGCTTCGAAAGAGTCCCTGTCCACAGTGGAAAACACAAGCACACACGCCTGTGCTCCTGTAACGGCAGAAAACGTGAGTCACGTCAGTGGAACATTCCCGTGCACAGAAAGGTCAATTCTACTAATTCAAAACAACGTTTATGTGAATAAACATGAAATTAATCGGTATAGCAATCTGATTATTAAACATCGACTTTTCTAAATCAAAGAACAAGATGACCAATGACAATGGTTCTCAAAGTCACCCAAGTGTTAAAATACCCGCAAAACAACACGTACTCCTTTCTGACATACCATGAAACACTGACCCATTTGTGAACCACTTAATCACTTTCTAAGAGTGGGAGAGAACGGTCAGGTAAGCTTGGAAGATTTCCGTCGGGTCACCCTCCTATCTGCCATTTGCGTCTGGATTTGGCACAGAGTGCAGAAAAATATCAAAAACAATTTTCTCGTCTCCTCAAGAGATATTAAGTATTATTTTACTTTAGTAGTAGGATACCAGTGATTTAAGGAACACAACCTGAAAACTAGTACCAAGAATAAAAAACAGAAAAAAAGTTTAATTTAGCTTTTTAAAAACTTGGTTACTAAAGTTTATTTTTATCGAGGGAAGATTGAATTCCACCACTGTGTATGTGTTAGGTACAGGTTCACATCTTTGTAATCCCCATTCTATACTCACTGAAAATATTTTTTGTTAACTACCACACTGAGGGGCTGGAGCAATAGCACAGTGGGTAGGGCATTTGCCTTGCATGCAGCCGACCCAGGTTCGATTCCTCCGTCCTTATCGGAAAGCCCGGCAAGCTACCAAGAGTATCCTGCCGGCACGGCAGAGCCTGGCAAGCTCCCCATGGCGTATCTGATATGCCAAAAACAGTAACAACAAGCCTCACAATGGAGACGTGACTGGTGCCCGCTCGAGCAAATTGATGAACCAACAGGAAGACAATGCAGTGCTACAGCGCTACCAAACTCAGTTGATTCATACCTATGATTAAAAATAAGTAGCAATCTTCTGAAAGAAGACTTTCTATTTATTTTATTTTTATTTGGGGGGGGGACACCTGGTTGTATGCTCAGGGCTTACTCCTGGCTCTGTGCTCAGGGATCAATCCTCGTGGGCTTGGGGGACTGTAGGTGGTGTTGGGGATCAAACCCTGATTGGCTAAATGCAATGTAAATGCCCTCATCTGTTGTACTATTGCGCATGTGTATATTATATATATATATATACACACACCACCTGATATATATATATATTTCCATCTGATATATATATATATATATATATTTGCCCTTAATTCGGGTAGCATGATGATAAAAGCAAATGCATATGAAAGAAAACTGTCCGGTGGATTTCCTGGATCCAAGGCATGTTCTCCTACTGTGACTCCTTTCCAGATCTCTCAGGTACAAAAGCTTTCTACCGAGACTTACAACATGGGTTACTTAAGATATTCTATGGCCAAAGGTAATACTGTGGGAAAAAAGTTACAATGAATTAGGAAAACAGCAGTTCATGATTACTGTGAAATCAAAAGTTCCACCTGATAAAATCTTCCTTACTCTACAACAGGATTATTTTTTTTTTCCCTTTCAGGTCAACCCAGCGATGCACAGGGGTTACTCCTGACTCATGCACTCAGGAATTACTCCTGGAGGTGCTCGGGGGACCCTATGGGATGCTGGGAATCGAACCTGAGTCGGCTGCATGCAAGGCAAATGCCCTACCCGCTGTGCTATCGCTCCAGCCCCATCTTACGGTAATCACAAGAATAAAAAGAGAATTGTAATGGCCAGAGCCAGTGGTACGAGTTGGGCGCTTCCCTCCCATGTGGCTGATCTGGTGTGCTCCCTGGCACCCCACACGCTCCCCTAAGCCCGACCAGCAGTGACCCCTGAACACCACTGGGTTTGATTCCCAAACGAGAAAGAGGAGAGAGAGGAGAGAGAGGAGAGAGAGACAGAGAGAGAGGAGAGACAGAGAGAGAGAGAGAGGTGAGAGAGAGAGAGAAGGTGAGAGAGAGAGGAGAGAGAGAGAGAGGAGAGACAGAGAGAGAGAAGGTGAGAGAGAGAGAAGGTGAGAGAGAGAGAGAGAGAGAGAGCACACTATTAAAGCCCAAGAGAAAAGCAGACGTTTTACTATAGAGCAGGGTAGGTAAGGGTAGATACCAAATGAACTACAGAAACTATAAAAACCTTAAATGAGAGGACGGCTGTAAACAAATTTAACATAATGGGTTATCAAAAGGAGGGAAAAACCAACCACCACCGCCTGGTTTACTTTTAATATGATAATAAATCTGACAAAAGCAGCAAAACCGTTTTATTTCCCCCTAATTCAAGTTTGTTATCCATAAAATGTTTAAACTGTGACCCAACCTAATTCTTTCAGGTTCAGGAAAACCTTGATGAACAAAAAGCTCTTTAGGGGAGCAGTGAGGGAAGTTACTCAGCCGTGTTCAGCTCTTCTCCAGCTGATGGAGCAAACCTTAACATTTTTCCGAAGTAAGAGAAAAGAACAAATTTCATTACATGTATACAGGGAACACACATGGCTGTAAATGAAACACATGGTTTTTATTTTGTTTTGTTTTGTTTGGGGCCAACCACACAGGTGGTGCTCAGGGATCACTCCTGGCAGGGCTCAGAGGACCACAGGGGGTGCCTGGGATCGAACTCAGGTGGGCCATGTGCAAGGCAGCTGATAAAAACAACTTAAGAGTGACCAGGAAAGATATAAACTGAAGAAAATTTTTCATTAGGGCCAGAAAAGGACCTTCCCATCCCATATCGCCTAACCAAATATACAGGAATAGTGCACCGTAGCACTGTCCTCCCGTTGTTCGTCGATTTGCTCGAGCGGGCCCAGTAATGTCTCCATCATGAGACTTGTTGTTACTGTGTCTGGCATGTCGAATACGTCACGGGAGCTTGCCAGGCTTTGCCCTGTGGCCAAGATACTCTCGGTAGCTTGCTGGGCTCTCCAGGAGGGACGGAGGAATCGAACCCGGCTCGGCCAGGCCAGCCGCGCGCAAAGAAAATGCCCGACCGCTGTGCTATCGCTCCAGCCCACAGGAATAATGAGAGACAAAAATAAAAGTTGTACTTTGATAACTTTATAACTGTGCTTATTAAACAGATCAACTAGTATTAACATATACAACTCAAGAATGATACTGTTTATTTTCTTTTTTCATCCTTTGATTTCCAGTTCTGTACTGGTACCAATCATCTTTAGGAAAGATAATGTATTAAGTATTTTGTTATACCTATTTGGACATACCTCACACCTTTGATATTTAAAAGTAGCTATCACTTTTCTACCCATTTATTTTGCAAAGACCTTTTTCCCCTACTGCACTAATACTATCAGTATTATCCACCATAGAAAATAAAAATAAAAAATAAAAATAAAAAGAAATAAATAAAAAGAAAAATAAATAAATAAAGAAAAGAAAAAGAAAATAAAAATTAAAAAAAGGGCTGGAGTGATAGCACAGCGGTAGGGCATTTGCCTTGCACGCAGCCAACATGGCCGACCCGAGTTCAATTCCTCCGCCCCTCTCAGAGAGCCCGGCAAGCTACCGAGAGTATCGATATGCCAGACACAGTAACAACAAAGTCTCCAATGGAGACGTTACTGGGCCCGCTCGAGCAAATCGACGATCAACGGGAGGGCCTTTACCTTTAGAAAATAAAAATCACACCACAGAAAAAGTGATTTCATCATCTTAGGAACAATCACTCTAAATGAATCACTGATAGTGATTACCCCACTTAGCCATACATCAGGAAAACAGAAATCCGAATGAATTTTCAGTGTGATTTTTTTGGGGGGGTTGGTTTGGGCCACACTCAGGGGTGTTTAGGGCTAATTCCTGGCTCTGTACTCAGGGGACCATATACGGGGTGCCAGGGATCACACCTGGATTGGCTGCATGCAGGGCGAGCCCATCCCCACTGCTCTGGCCCTTCAGTGTCAATGTCAAGATCACCAATAGCAACTATTTATTCTGAATTAATAAGACCACTCAAAGCAGTATTCCTGAGTGCAATTCAGAAAATAATCCCCATGACCCATCACCCGCAGAGTAGTTCTATTCTCAAACCACTGAAAAACCCTGGTCCCCGCACTTGTTCTCAGTCTGGCTGAAGGCCACGAGGAGCAGTCTGACCTGGGAGCTTGCAGAGATGCAGAATCTCAGTCACCCACAGATCTGCTGAATGAGAGTCTTCACATCACAACCCCCCTGCACCCCCCCCCGTGGGAGTCACATGTATATTAAAGTTGGAAAAGCCCTGCTGTAGTGAACATAGCGTATAATTTGAATAACTCATACTTAACTCATCCTTCCAAGTCCTTTGACTTCTCTTTTTTTTTTCTTCTTACATTTAATTGGGCTGAAGCGATAGCACAGCGGTAGGGCATTTGCCTTGCATGCAGCTGGCCCAGCCAAGCTGGGTTCGATTCCTCCGCCCCTCTCGGAGAGCCCGGCAAGCTACTGAGAGTATCTCGACCACATGGCAAAGCCTGGCATGCCAAACACAGTAACAACAAGTCTCACGATGGAGACGTTACTGGGCCCGCTCGAGCAAATGGAAGAAGAACGGGAGAACAGTGCTACAATGCTACCGTGCTACATTTAATTATCATCTGACTCTCTACGAGCAGCAGCTATTACCTGATTGTCTAACTGCCAATCACCCACTTCCCCTCCCTTCCTGCAAACACTTCTCAGGTTTTGCGTAAGAGCCAGTGGAGTTCAGCCAGGTTAAACCGATCTGCTGCTCAGTGTACCAAGCCAATTAGGGTAATACAGTGCTTAGAATGCTTAACTGAAATCTGGTCAAGGATGGTCTAATCAGGTAAGAGCTCTGAACTTCGGATCTACCGTGGGAAGTGACTCCAGGAGGTGAACAAAACAAAGGGGCTTCCCAGGCTGATGGTGGCAATATTGCAACCACTAGGCAAGTCAGCACGAAGGGGATCCCCACAATAAGGAGGGAAGCGGGAAAGAAGAATCCATGAAGCTCCAGTTGGAACGTAACTACCGTATCTGTGCAACTTCCAGACTTTCCCAGTCAATCAATAAACAATGGGGGGGGGGGGGGAGCATTAAGTCAGTTTGATACGGCAGATCTGCAGTCACAGGTAAAAGCACGGTGACAGAGCCCAGACGAAGGCACAGGCTAGCCAATGTGCCTTCCCTCAAGGGTCACCGTCACTCTTCTTTCTTCAATTCAAGTTGCACCGTGATAAATGTTGATTCTTACAACTCAGAAAAGAGGGCAAAGCTTAAAACACATCTTAGTGTCCCTCCTCCGCTATTTAAATACAGTTCCCTTTCTGAAAAGTAGTATTTTAAGAAAAACTTTACCAGTTCTCTATTGTGCTTTAAGATCACTGTAAGTTAAAATGTTAAATATAGGGAAAGCAAAGCTGTTGAAAACCTTCTAATTCAAATGAAACAAAGTAGGAGAAGTTTAAATATCATCCAGATTAAATTAAGATGTAAATACTAGTAATTATGGGGCTCTTGGTTTCTGGCAAAGAATGTTTTTTTGTGGAAACTATTATTTGACGCTACCAGAAAAGTACTAAACAAGGTCTACAACACACAAGAGGAGCCACAGTTTAATAATTATAAGATGTCTGACAGAGGCATTAGGCAAAAACTAAATAAAGCATTAGCACCACAACTACAATGAAAATGAAACTACTTTTTTAACTACCTAGTCTTTTTTTTTAAAAAATAAAATCTGCGACCCTAATTATCTATATAACTATATAGTTCCAACATTTTCTACTTTCTATGTATATACAAATCAAATTATTATTTCACCAGCTCTGCCATTTTAAGTTAAACTCTACTTTGCGATAAAGACACACAAGTTTTTGACTTTTTAAACCAGAGATATGTAATGTTAAAATATATTCTCAAAAAGTGAGCCAAAAAAAAAAAATGGCAAGTAACACCGCCATATCAAATGATAAGAAGCTTGGGGGAAAAAAACCCAGCCTACTTTTTCCCTCACAAAAAGAACACATATCTGGGGCCAGAGATAGTACGGAGACGAGGGCACTCCCCTGCACACAGCTGACCCAGGTTCGATTCCTGGTATCCGACAATGCCCCCCCCCCCCCCGTATGGCAAGGTGTGATCTGTGAGTGCAGTCAGGAGTACACTCTAAGCATAGCCAGGTGTGACCCCCCAAACAGAGACAAAAAGAATATATATCTGTCTCATGCCGAGAATTTAGAGAAGTTCACAATCACGATCGTGATCACGATCACGATCATTCTGTTGTGCGTCGATTACCTCGAGCAGGCACCAGTAACGTCTCCTTCGTCCTAGCCCTGAGAAACGCTCTTTCAGGGTTAGGAGAATGAGACCCATCAGAGAAAAAGCTAACGGAGGGGAAATAGCAAGAGTCTTACACCATCCCACCTAGGCTTTGGGTCTGTCTTTCTCTAAGTGCGTGTGTGGGCCAGTGGTGTTGGCGGGGAGTGCTGAAGTGGAGAGAGCTGGCAACAGCATCATTTAGAACACAAGGGGCTGGGAGACAGTACAGGGGTCGAGGTGCCAGCCTTGCACCCCACTGGCCATACTTCGGCGGCACCCTGGGACCACAGAGTCACCTGAGTACCACCCAGGATCATGCCTGAGCACCCGGGAACAGGCCCTGGGCACAGCTGGTTGTGGCCCCAAATAAGTGTCCAGAGAGACAGTCCAAAGATGAAGCCACCTGCCTTGCCTGCAGCCTGCCGTGGCTCAAATGAAAAATCGGCTCAGAAATCTAAGGTTTTCTTGAGAAATGTAAACCCATTAAAAACTGCTCCGGTCAGTGTCTGGGGACCCAGGATGCGTAGGGGTGATGCCGTGGTGGCCACCAGACTCAGGGTACGACTTGAGCAATCTCCCCAGCTCAGGGGTCCATTTGGTGCCAGGGATCGAACCAGGGTTCGCCATACGCCAGACAAGTGCCTTGAACCCTGTACTATCTTTCCACACCCTCAGGTGATCACTTAACGAGGACAACAATCTGGCGTTTTTTTAAATATAGAAACCGTTCTGTGGGAAACAGATGAAACGAAAGCTTTTCCTTCAGCCAAAAGAACAGGCCAAACCAACACAAACACGCCACAATTTACCTCGATAGTAGGCCTTCGTGATTGCGTCAAACTCCTCTTGACCTGCCGTATCCCATAACATTAGTCTGACATCTTCATCATTGACTCTGGAAACAAGAAACAAGTTCATTTTCTTATGCAAAGGAAACGGCTTCGGCCACAAAGTGTTGTGCCTATTTTTATTTTTCACAGCTAAAGGTATTAAAACTACATGGTCAGTGTTCCTATGAGAGTGAGTACTTTTACTGGTCTGAAAAAAATGTTCATTTCTTTCAAACATAGAAAGGACATTCATCCCCACCCCCCCCCCCCCAAACTAGTAACTGTAATTTACTGTTGTTATTTGTTTTGTTTTGCTTTTTGGGTCACACATGGCATTGCACAGGGCTGACTCCTGGCTCATGCACTCAGGAATTACTCCTGGCAGTGCTCGGGGGACCCTATGGGATGCTGGGACTCGAACCCAGGTTGGCCAGGTGCAAAGCAAACGCCCTACCCGCTAATGCTACCGCTCCAGCCCCCGTCGTCTTTTTCCTCTGACAAGGGCCATAGATGGTGGTGGCTGTAAGACTGCCGTTAGTGGGAGAAGGGGATTCCTGTCTATCCACGCACGCTCTCCTCTCCCGTCAGCATTCCAATGGGACAAAAAGGAAAGGAGCAGCTTATCTTCGTGATTGTTTTTCACGTTAAAAGACAAGAACAAAAATGACTCCGCGTCGTCAAATGGCTCGTTCCCCTTAAGCTGCAAGGCCTTTGTTTGTCTGTATCCCCCTTGTTGAGCTGCCCACTAGTGCTCAGGGGTTAGCCTGGCCCAGAGTTTGGAGGTCAACGCGGTGCCAGCGACTGATACGGGGTCTCCTGCACGCAAACCACACCCTCTAGCCCTTGAAGCTGTCTCTCTGGCCCTGCCCTTTCCTACAGCAAATCACCAACAAAAACTGAGCATGGACAGGGCACCTGCTTAAGGTATGACAGACAGGAGCAACAAGAGGGAGAGTGTCTTCGCATGTCGTCCTCTGAGAGGGGAACACGCATGTGGTGAAAAGCACGTTTCTGGTGGCTTTGTGCATGACCACGAATGACCATCAGGAAGCCAGAAATGTTCATTTTGGAGTTACAAACACATTTCAGCAACTAACCAAATTTGCAAGTATGGAATCATACACCAAAATTAAGCTATAAACTTAAAACTATGAAATACTGTTAAAGGCTGGATTGACTAAATACTTAAAATATTGACTGGCTTTGGATACCAAGTAGAAACAATAAACACGGGTCTTAAATACTCTCAAAATACAGAAGTATTTTTGAAGGGTCTTATGTTTTCTAATAGTACATTAGAAATAAGTAGTCTTCGAACAATGAAGACAATTTTCTTTGATGCAAATATCTGGACCGGAAAGCCAGGTTTGTTCAGTATTACTTATTTCTGTCATACGTTTTGATCTGTCTCCTACAATTCAAATCATCCTTAAAAATTCTCAGCACGGGCAGGAGAGCTAGTGCAGGGGTCTATAAGGAGTCAGTACAGAGATAGCGATATCACTCGCCTGGGTCATGGTCGACTTGGCTCTCTGTTGGTGTGGCCCCCCCAAAAAACAAAAACAAAACAAAAAAGTCCTTGGCACTAATGACAACAAAGTGTCACTACGCTGATGTGCTTGAAAAATCCAGTTGGTTACCTAAACTGAGATTTTTGTCTCCATAAGAGTATTTAATCTTCTCAAATCTGCTTTCTCTTTTTAAAATAAAAATAGACAATTCTCGGGGCTGGAGCGATAGCACAGCGGGTAGGGCGTTTGCCTTGCATGCAGCCAACATGGCCGACCTGGGTTCGAGTCCCAGCATCCCATATGGTCCCCTGAGCACCGCCAGGGGTGATTCCTGAGTGCATGAGCCAGGAGTAACCCCTGAGCATCACCGGGTGTGACCCAAAAAGCAAAAAAAAAAAAAAAAAAAGACAATTCTCCAGGTACTATATAGTCTGAACCAGTTTTTTGGGGGAAGGATGTTGCGATCCTAATGTGGCCCACTTTGAAAATGAGACAGGAGGGGCTGGAGCGGCGGTAGCAGCAACCCTGGTTCAAATCCCGGCAAGGTCACAAATGGCCCCTGAGCACAGCTGGGTGTGGTCCCATAAAAGTAAATAAATCAAATTTAAAAAATTTTAAATGAGAAGAGAAGGCCAGGGAGATAGCTCAGTGGGGCTGCGCACATGTTTTGCATGAAACAGACACAGGTTTGGGGATCCCCCTGATTCCCTGAGCACCTCTGAGAGCGACCTCTGAGCACAGAACATGGAAGAGTTCCTGAATACTGCTGGCCATGGCCCCAAATCCCCAAAAATGAATGGGAAAAGATATTCTACATGAAGAATCCCATATTACACACCTGGAAACTGTTTTGAGAACACTTTGCTTCCAGATTAAAACAGTGGTCAGAACCCTCATTTGAGCTCAGCGTCGGACTGTGTTTAAGTGCTCAAGGTAGCTACCAGTCAGTCTTTGAGACAGAGAGAGAAAGGGGCAGTAGGGGTGGAATGGAAGAAATGGAAACGAGAGGAAGCAGGGAAGTAGGAGGGGAAGATCAAAACGGGAATGAGCAATTGACCCTCACCGGCAACTGCCTGCTCAGCCCCTGAGACTAGACGCCTCCCGTCCGAAGCCAGTTCCTACTAATCTAAGGAGAGCCCTGGACAAAGCAAACACGTCAAAACCAAGGGGCTAAAATGGCCAAGTACATACTGGATTTGTCGCTCCAGAAAATCAACGCCGATTGTTTTCTTATAGTCCTTTGTAAAAATGCCTTTGCAATAGCGTTGAATCATACTCGATTTTCCAACTGCTCCGTTCCCTACAACCACCATCTTGATGGCCACTTCCATATCTTCCTCCAGCATGTTTGGAGCTGCAAAGGCCGCTGTATCACGCTTAATGTTCAGGGGATCAGATCTTCTCTCTCAAATCTGCAGTTTGAAATGAAATTTTTTTTTGTCGTGACATAAAAACGGAACAAAATAATTTGTCGATGCATCAAGAAATAGTTATAATGCAACACAAAAGAATCTTGTTTCCATGACAAAAGCCCTCTCCCGACCCAGTTTAGGGAATTAAAAGTACTTGAAATGGTAATTAATCACATCACATTTGTGGGGAGGGCACACTCCCGGGATCAGGTCTTACTCCTGGCTCTGCACCCAGGGATCACTCAAGGCGTGGCTCGGGGACCATACACGGTGGAGGGATCAAACCCAAGCAGTCGGCCATGTGCCAAGACAAGCACCTTACCTGCTGGACTACCTCCCTGGCCCCACAGCACTTATTTTTTAAAATCAACAACCCATTATGTGAAACCCATGTTTTTAGGTATCAATAAATGCCTAAAGAAATCACACAATTCTGCCTTCTATAGTAGAACTATACGTGTTAGTATTAAGGCTTGATTTAACATTGCCATTCACTAATTTTGTACTCTTGATCACTTGACATCCCGTTACTCATCAATTTGCTCGAGCAGGCGCCAGTAACATCCCCATTCATCCCTGTTGCGTACTAGTGTAGCCCAATGACGTCTATTCATTCTAGGAACATGAACAGCCTCAAACCGATCGTTCAGGGTCTTAAAGAAGTCTGGCCATCTTGGCGGCCACATGGGAGCCTTGTGGACAGCAGGTATGAGCCGGGGGTGTGGGGGCGACTAAAACCTCATGGGTTGGGGGGCGTTCCGGTCCGTCCTTCACGCCCTACCGAGGTCACCAGTTGCCGCCCGCGAGCGGCTCTCCAGCACAGCCACGGCCCCAGAAGCACAAGGACTTAATGCAGAACCCAGCAGCTTGGAGCAGAAAAGTGAAAGGACTATGCGTTAATCCAGGCCATCAGGTCTGTCCGGAGGGGAAAGGGTGTTGCCCCAGTCGCCTTCTCCTCTCTGGAAAGAAAGATGGTGGCCGCATGGGAGCCTTGTGGACAGCAGGTATGAGCCGGGGGACTGGGGGCGACTAAAACCTCATGGGAAGGGGGGCGTTTCGGTCCGCCCTTCACGCCCTACCGAGGTCACCAGTTGCCCCCCATGAGCGGCTCTCCAGCACGGCCATGACTCCAGAGCACAGAAACCAATTTCTTAACTATCTGACTTTCAGTATAAATACTTCCAGGGTCAATAAGTAAAATAGCAGAAATCCAAAACCAACATTTAATTCTTGAACCCAGCTGTAGAAAGAAAATCACTTCACAATGCTGTTTCAGCATGTCTGATTTGGGGGGGGTGGTAAACTCTAAATAATAGTGGTGAATCTTTTATTGAAACAATGAATCTAATCAAAGCAGATAAGAGCGTTAACTAGAATTCATCTGCCTCACAGGGACTGGGAGGGGTGGGGGGTGGGGTTTTATTGGGATTCTTCGTGGTAAAAAATAAGTATTGGTAAAGGGAAAGGTGTTTGATATTTGTATGACTGAGACCTAAACCTGAAAGCTTTGTAACCTTTCCCACAGTGATTCAATAAATAAAAAAAATTAAAAAAAAAAAAAGAAGTCTGGCCATCTCATAGGTGGGTGGCCACATGATCTTTTGACGTCCTGTGGAATCCAGGTGGTAATGGCTCTAATCCAGCAGTCGTCTCCACATCTCATTACATGTCCAGCCCATCTGATTTTCGATGCCTTGGCAAACGAGACAGCATCCCTGATTCTTGAGCAATGACGAAGGTCGGAACTCCGAATTCTTTCTCTCATTTGAGTGAAGCGTGATACTCCAAGCATAGCTCTTTCGAATCCTCTTTGGGAGACCCGAACAGTGTTTTCATCCTGTTTGCGTAGGGCCCAGGTCTCTGAGGCATATGCTAATGCAGGAAGAACAGTGGAATCGAAGAGATGTGCTTGGAGCTGGAGGTTCTTCGTCCTCTTAGCTATTTCTTCAACGCTCTTGAAGGCGTTCCAAGCAACTTTCTTCCTCCTGCGGCAACTCAGGTGCCAGGCCATTCGTCATGTTGACTTCTCGACCTAGGTACACATAACTGTTGCATTCAAAGATGTTCATCCTGTTGAGAGCGAATGGAAGGTCAGGAACGAGTCCGTTTCTCATAAACACTGTCTTTGTGAGGTTCAGCTGGAGTTCAACCTTTCCACACTCACGGTGGAAGTTGGCCAGCATTTGTGCTGCTTGGCTGATGTTTGGTGTTATTAGAACGATGTCATCAGCAAAGCAGAGGTGGCATAGCTGCTGACCGGCTATCTTTACTCCCATTCCTTCCCATTCCAGTCGTTGCATGATGTTCTCGAGGGTGGCACTGAAGAGTTTTGGTGAAATAGTATCACCCTGCTGAACCCCTCTCTTGACGTCGATGATCACTTTCTTGTAGAATGGTGAGATCCTGGTAGTGAATCCGTAATACAACTCACAGAGAATCCTGAGGTATTGAGTTTGAATGCCCTGTCTGGCTAGGGCTTTGATGACTGCTTCCGTCTCAATAGAACCAAAGGCCTTCTTTAAGTCAATGAACGTTAGACAGAACAGCATCTTGAACTCCCGAGAAACCTCAATGAGCTTGGTTATCACAGTCCGGAAAGCGTCCTGGAGCGTGGCGGTGGCTGGGCAGTGGAGGTACTGGAGGTAGTGGAGGTCTGCCGGTGAGGTATTTAATTGGTACCTGTAGGGTGGGTCTTCTGTGCGTAATCCCTGGGTCACCAGCGGTTGGGGGAAGCAGACAGGGCAGGCTAGGGTGGGGCTCCTGGTTTTAATACCTTGGTCACCTGTGGTTGGTGGGAGCAGGCAGAGGATCTCAGTCCCCTGGTCTGTTGAGCCTGGAGTCCAAGGTCTCAGAGTTCTGCTTATCTAGTTCTGTGGGGCTTCCTCATGTGCAAATCTCAACCCAAGCGTTCGGAAAGCGTCCTGGAGCGTGGCAGCATCTGGGTAGTGGAGGTGCTCTCAGCGAAGTTATTGTTCATATTCTTTGTGTTCAGTTTCCTGAAGCTGTTTATCTCACAAGATTATTGAGCAATGATACATGAGGCACTTAACCTACTAAAAGTTAATCATCCCAATTGTGGCAGTTTTATTCAACAAAACAAGCCTTTCGCAGCTACTTCCAAATGGGAAACAAACACAGAATCTAAGGAAATCGCTTTTAATCGCTTTAAAACCTTACAGAAAATAACAAATTATCACCAGGAAAGTACCTCAGAGACTAAAGACAGGTTCGGAATAACAGCGTACAAGACACATCAGCACGGTGCTCTCCCAGTGCTCAGGTTACAGTGAGTCCTCCACAAATAATCTTATACCAAATTTCCTTTCTTTCATTTCAAACTAGATGTAACATCCCACATAATGTGAGAGACAGGAGGTATAGTTTCCTTTTTAAGACTGAACTACTTAAGTGCCTGCCTACTGAATAGTACATCTAACTGTACTAACTGAAAGTTACGCACAAAACCACTATAAGTTTATCTACCTATTTACCTTTTGAAATTGTAGTTTAGGTAACATGGTTTCAGTTGTGTTGATGTTTACGATTTTGACGGACAGAGTTACTGTGCCTTTACCACCATAATGCCCAAGACTTTCCACCATGTTCCTTAAATTCCTCCTAGCCTCATCCCCCCCACCCAACAGCTTCGTAATTTCAACACAGAACAAGTATGAAATGTGAAGAACTGTTCCTTTACAAGTCTCTCTATTGAGTCTCGGTAGTTGTTGCTAGTGCTTCGAAAGTACATGTTACCCACGTCACCCTAGAAGTCATTCAGGAATGGTTAAAATATGGGTTCGGCTTCTCCACCTGAGACATAATTAAATAATTTTCAAAAGTTCACTTGGAGTATCAGAACAAAGTATATGGTAGGAGCAAAAATAGAGCTAACAGTTTTCCCTTCTCTTGTGTGTTCTGAATTGTTTGACAGTTGAAACAAAAAGTGGATCATTGTCCAATCTGGTTTTCAACATTAGTAAAGAAAACATTTAAGACAATTCTGAGTGGGAAAGAACAGAGATAGAAGAGGTATGGTTCCTATGCTTCATGAACTGAAAAGAGTTTCCTATGATAAACTACGCGCGCGCGCGCGTGTGTGTGTGTGTGTGTGTGTGTGTGTGTGTACTGTAATACCAAGAACCACTGAAGAACTTACACAGAAATATACTCAGCAGCACAGATAAAACAAATTTTAATTTTTTTTTCCGACTCTTTGGGTCACACCCAGCAATGCAAAGGGGTTACTTCTAGCTCAGGAATTACTCCTGGCAGTGCTCAGGGGACCATACGGGATGCTGAGAATCAAACCTGGGCCATGCAAGGCAAACGCCCTACTCGCTCCAGTCCCACAAAATGTAATTAGAAAAACACAACAAAGCTTTCAGAATCTCGGGCTGGAGTGAGAGTACAGCGAGTAGGGCACGAGCCTTGCACACAGTCAACCTGGGTTCCATCCCTGGCACTGCAGATGGTGTCCTGGGCCCTGGCAGGAGGGATCTCTAAGCACAGATCCAGGAGGAAGTCCTGAGCATGGCTCAGTGTGCTCGCCCACCCCCGCAAAAATAAAAAAAAACAAGAAAAACTCTCAGAATCTAATTAGCAGTTTAGGTTAGTACTGCTTAGACCAAAACAGCAGAAAGACTTCTTTTCAAGCACTCACTGAATAGACACCAATATAAAACATGCTAGATCGTAAAACAAACTTAAGTAAACTTAAAAGAGCACGACTACAATGGAAGCAAACTGGTAACAGAAAGAGTACAGAAAAAAACCCAAGCATTCGGAAACTAAAAGCAGACACTTCTAAACACCAGGGGCCAAGACCAGAAGGCAAGAGAAAAACTCTTAAATATCGGAATGGAAATGAAAATACATGTCAGTATTTGTGGGACACGAATGTAGTGCTGAGGGGAAATTTTTATAGCACTAAGTGTACATTCTATTTTACATATTGGGGGAGGGAGGGGGCTTTGGGCCACACCTGGCAGTGCTCAA